AACACTGTTATCTTGGGGTGGGGGGGGAGTTTTAAATTATAAGTAAAAAAAAATAATAAAGTGCTAAATAAAATGAATATAATTTATGTATTGAAATGACCTTCAATATTCTGTTTTTATTTTTATTTATTTTTTTTTTCCCATACAAGGAAATACTGTTTATGCGATGGATTTTTGCCTCGTGTCTTTGTCTCAGCCTCAGAGCAGGTTCAGGTTGAGCCGTTGGGTCGCTGGTTCGAGGCGTTTCTGAAGCGCAGGACTAGAAATGTGTCGGCCTCGTTTCAAGAGCTGGAGGAAGAGGAGCAGCTGTCTGAGGAAGAGGAGGATGAGGAGCTGCAGCTGGAGGAGTATCCCATGCTAAAGACACTGGACCCCAAAGACTGGAAGGTGTGTGTAGAGACTGCGATCTGTGTCAGAGCTGTGAGACTCTGAACTGAATGCATTGACACGCTTCTCTTGACCTTACAGAACCACACCAAGGCTGCTTTTATTTGATCAAAAATACTGTAAAAATTGTGAAATATTACTACGAGTTAAAATAACTGTTTTCTTTGTGGATATATTGTCAAATGTAATTTATTCCTGTGATCAAAGCTGAATTTTCAGCATCATTACTCCAGTCTTCAGTGTCACATGATCTTCAGAAATCATTCTAATATGCTGATTTACTGCTCGAGAAACATTTCTAAGTTTATTAATGCTGAAAACAGCTGTGCTGCCCAATATTTTTGTGGAACTACCATTCAAAAGTTTAGAGTCAGAAAGTTTTTTTTTTTTTTTTTTTAAGAAATTAATGCTTTTATTTATCAAGGATGCATAAAATTGATCAAAAGTGGCAAAAGATTTCTATTTCAAATAAATTCTGTTCTTTTGATCTTTCTATTCATCAACAAATCCTTAAAATATTTTTTTCCACAAATGTTCAACATTGATAATAATCAGAAATGTTTCTTGAGCAGCAAATCAGCATATGATAATGGTTTCTGAAGATCATGTGACACTGAAGAAAATTCAGTTTTGATCACAGAAATAAATTACATTTTAGCAGATATTCACATGGAAAATAGCTATTTTAAATGGTAATAATATTTTACTGTTTTTACCGTATATTTGATCAAATAAATCCAGCCTTGGTGAGCAGAAGAGACCTTTGTACAGAAAGGTGCGTATTGATTGATAATAATCAGAAATGTTTCTTGAGCAGCAAATCAGCATATGATAATGGTTTCTGAAGATCATGTGACACTGAAGACTGGAGTAATGATGCTGAAAATACAGCTTTGATCACAGCAATAAATTACATTTCACAATATATTCACAAAGAAAACTGGTATTTTAAATTTAAATAATATTTCACATTTTTTACTGTGTAATAAATGGAGCTTCGGTGAGCAGAAGACACTTCAAAATAGTAAAGAGTAGCCTATTTTGTAGTAACATGCTGCTGTTCTCCACAGATAAAGCCATGGTCCTCAAACATCACCCGGACAAGCGGAAAGCAGCAGGAGAGCAGATTGTGGAGGGAGATAATGATTATTTCACTTGCATAACAAAAGGTTTGGACTTTATTGCTTTATTCTAAGTGAAATAAAGGTGTTTGTGCATACGAGAGGTTCTTGATCTGCTCTCGTGTGATGCAGCGATGGAGATGCTGTCGGATCCCGTGAAGCGGAGAGCGTTTGACAGCGTGGATCCCACGTTTGACAACATGGTTCCTTCAAAAGCAGAAGGCAAAGAAAACTTCTTCGAGGTGTTTGCGCCGGTGTTTGAGAGGAACAGCAGGTAAACGCCTCTCATGACTGATTCAGATGATTCAGGTTCAGTGCTGGAGATCACGCTGCTGTGTTTCTCTCAATCAGATGGTCTGTTCAAAAACACTTCCCGAGTCTGGGAGCCCAGGACGCGTCTTTTGAAGAGGTGGATCATTTCTATTCCTTTTGGTAAGAAAAATATCAAATTTATTCATAGATTTTGAGGCAAACTAATGCTGGAAGAAAAAAAAAAAGATTTTTTTTTCCCTTTTGTTTCTTGAAGGTACAACTTTGACTCTTGGAGAGAATTTTCATATTTAGATGAAGAGGAAAAGGAAAAAGCTGAATGGTGAATAATACTTTGATCATATGTTATTGGTTTTGGTTTAGTATTTTGTAAAATTTTAATTATTACTGCATGTGGTTATTATAGGTAACACACTAAACCATAAAAAAAAAACCTTTAACTGAAAAAAAAAAAAAGTTGCTAGTTGCCAAATTCTTATCGAATTTGAGTTGAAAGTAATAAAAACCTAAATATTATTTTAAAAAAAACTATCTAGACATTTAAAAAAAATAAAATCGCAACACAACAAAATGACTTAAACTTGAATTAAAATTGTGAAAACAGAAAATATACGAATGAAACAATAATCAAAATATAAAAAAATATATACTAAACTAAATTTAAATTAATCTGAAAACAGAAAATATTAATTAAAATTAAAATGAACAATTGTAAATTAATCACTAATTAAAGTGATTTAATTAATTACAATTAAAAAAAGAAAAGATTAAATAAAAAAATCAAGTTAACTACAACTACAATAGTTTCTCAATTCTATTACAATAACACTGTTTCCTTTTTGTGTTTGTGTGTGATTTTGCTATCAGTCGAGATGAGAGGAGGTGGATTGAGAAACAGAACCGAGCCTCTCGAGCTCAGAGGAAGAAGGAAGAGATGAACAGAATACGGACACTCGTTGGTAAGTTTGGGGTGAGACACGAGAAACATGATCTTACTGTGAGCGTCTGTGTGAATGTGTGTGATGTGATGCAGACACGGCCTACAACTGCGACCCGCGAATAAAGAGATTCAAAGAGGAGGAGAAAGCCAGGAAAGAGTCGGAGAAGAAGGCCAAAGCCGAGGCGAAGAAACGAGAGCAGGAGGAGAAGGAGCGGGTCAGTGCTCACTGTTTCAAATGACTTAATAAAAAAAATTATATATAATATATAATAAAGCTTAACTGAAATAAAAGATTAAAGTCGCTAGATGCCAAGGTAATATTTGTAATTTTAATTAAGTTTAAGTTGATGTACAAAATTAACCAAAACCAAATTAAAAATTAATTAAAAAAACTAGTCATATTAAAAAAAAGCTAATACAAATGACAGTAATGCACAACAAAATGTATATTTTATATATATTTTATTATGTATCATAATTATATATGTTATATTATAATTTACATATATCATTTATATTATTAAATTATTTATAACTAATGTTTTCTGATATTTGGCCATCAATCAATAGCTGTGCCTGTTTTTTATTACTTTTTTTCTGTTAATAGAACCACATTTTCTTTTTTTTTCCAGTTATTTTGGAGTGCTTTTTGACTAAACACTGCAGTATCAGTGTTTCCAGGTCACTTCTGTAAAAAAGAGTTTTACCTGGTTAAATAAAGGACAAATAATTAAAGTATCACTTTATTTTACAGTCAAGTAAGTAATATATGTGACCCTGGAGCACAAAATGCTCCAGGGTCAATTTTTCGAAATTGAGATGTATACATAAAGCTGAATAAATAAGCTTTCCATTGATGTATGGTTTGTTAGGATAGGACAATATTCCAAAGCCGAGGCGAAGAAACGAGAGCAGGAGGAGAAGGAGCGGGTCAGTGCTCACTGTTTCAAATGACACATGAGCAACTCTGCTTTAGCACTTACTAACACATTTCTGAAAGTGTTTCACACCTCACCTTATTTGTGTTTTTCCATTTTTCTGTTTTGAATATGTTTTGTTTGATGAAGCTGTAAATGACCAAATATCAACAGATTAAATCTGCATATGATATTTTATTTGTATATATAAATTTAAACGTACAATATATTTAGCGATATATCGAGAGAGTATAGTCATTACAATGATCTGAACCCATATTAGGGTCTCGGTAGTTACATATAGTTACTTTCCATTACTCGGTACTTTCTTATGTAAGTATCCTGTTAGCTAAATTAGTGACCTTAATCTGTTGTATATATTGTCTATCAGGGATCCTCGGTTCTCTCTCACTGTTTTATGTGTGCAGGCACGTCAGGCGGAGGAGGAGGTGGCGCGGATGCGGAGGGAGAAGGAGGAGGAGGCGGCGCGACAGGTGGCACAGCAGGCCAAGAAAGAGAAAGAAGCCCAGAAGAAAGCCATCAAGAAAGAGCGGCAGAAGCTCAGGACGACCTGCAAGGCAGGAGACCCTCCACACGATCTCACACTTACTCAGCTCTCCGAGAGCTTCCCGTCCTCATCTCTGTCTCTCTGCTTCTGCTTTTCTCTCAGACTCACAGCTACTTCACAGACAATGAAGCGGATGGCGTCAGGATGATGGAGGAGGTGGAGAAACTCTGCGACCGCTTGGAGCTGACCAGGTGAAGCTTGGAAATGTGATGGCGGTTTACTGCTCCTCTTGTGAGTTGATTCTCTGAAACACAGCTGCATGTGGGATTAATATTGAGTTTTGGTTTGATTTGTAGTTTGCAGACGCTGAATGAAGCTTTGGCCTCTGGGAGTAAAGAGCAGAGTAAAGCAGCTCTGGAGAAACAGGTGAGAAACACAAACCGGTCAAAACCACCCTATTTACCCTTTGTTAAGCTATAAATCTGTGTGTGTACGCAAACATTTGGGGTCTGCATGGTTTTTAAAAGAAGTCTCTTGTTTTCACCAAGGCTGCATTTATTTGATCAAAAATACAGTAAAAATAGTGAAATATTATTACAATTTTAAATAACTTTTTGTATATATAAAGTAAAAAGTAATTTATTTCTGTGATCAAAGCTGTATTTTCAGCATCATTACTCCAGTCTTCAGTGTCACATGATCTTCAGAAATCATTCTAATATGCTGATGTGCTGCTCGAGAAACATTTCTGATTATTATCAATGTTGAAAACAGTTGTGCTGCCCAGTATTTTTGTGGAAACTGCTGTTTTATTTTTTTAGGATTTTTTTGATGAATAGAAAGTTTAAAAGAACAGCATTTATTAGAATTATAAATAGTAATTCTAATTATTCGACAAATCAATTCTAATACAATCGACCAATCTTAATATTATTTTAATTAATATTATAATATCTGTAACATACACACTTATTATAATGAAAGCTGAATACCAAAGCATTATTATACGTAACAAATAATGACAAAAAATTATTAAAGCAATAACAAATATTATTAAGGTAGATTTAGAGTAAGGTGCCAAGTAATATTAATAAAAATATTTGAATAAAATTATATTAGCATTTTTAAAAAATAATGATAACATTTAAAATATATTAATAATATTTTATATTATAATATATGTAATACATATACATCGTAATATTTTTGTGGAAGTTGTGATTTTTTTTTTTAAAAGGATTCTTTGTATAGGAAGTGCCAAAGAACAGCAAAAATACTAATAATTATTAGTAATAAATTACAACTACTAAAATTATTTAATATAAATAGCAGTATCGTTGTTGTTATTATTATTTGGAAACATGATAATATTTTTAGGATTAGTTTGATGAATAGAAAGTTCAAAAGAACATTTATTTGAAATATAAATAAAAATACTACTAATAATTATTAGTAATAATGTTACAATTACAAAAACAAATATTAATATAATTAGTCATTTAATAACTATTATTATGAATATATTTTTAAGATTTTTTAGCAACATTATAAATGACTTTACTGCTGTTTTTGAATGTTTTTAAAAGAAGTCCTTGCTGACCCCAAACATCTTAATGGTCCTGTAGTTGCTCTGAGGATTTGTTTCTGTGGTTGCAGGTGCAGGAGGTGAACGTTCAGATGCAGAAGGAGAAGGAGGTGGAGATGCAGGCGCAGCAGGCGGTGCGCGGGGCCGAGCACACCAGCGCAGGAGGAGGAGGAGGACTCAATAACAGAGGCTGGAACGAGGAAGACCTGCAGCTGCTCATCAAAGCTGTCAACCTGTTTCCCGCCGGAACCAACGCCAGGTGAGTCTCCATGGAAACCACCTGTCGTATCTCAGACCGAACAGATGATCCAGTGTTTCACTGGCTACGTTTACATGCAACCAAATAATCAGTTTGTAATCGGATTGATGGCTCAATCGGACTGAAAAGCCTTCATGTAAACACCTTAATCGATCCGACTGAGCTCGATCGGAATGAAATTTCGATCGGATTGAAGGGGGAGGTTTATTCCTTTTCTAATACGATTGAGAGTGCATGTTAACACTCGATCGGATTGAACCCTGAAACTGAAAGAACTGCGCATGTGCAATGATGCAGAAATAGCGTAACGACGTATGACGCGCAGAACGAGCGGTTCTTCCTTTTGAATAAAGTGTTGTATAAATGCGTGTCCCGTCATCTCTCAAACTCTCCTTTCACTCGGCAACTGTGAAGTGGAGCAGGACAACCTCCCACCAGTCCTTGTTTTGGATTCTCATCCACAGGCAACCCGTTTTGGGTGCGGGGAGGGGCATTTTTACTGTGTGGTAAATAAGAGCAGTACGGCACAGCAGTTTATATGTATATTTATACATAAATTAATAAATATTAATTCTGCTGTTAAAAACAAATAAAGAAACCCTGTAGGAGAGTGGTTATTATGTGCCAACAGTGAGAAACTCTATATTTGTGCAGTGCGCGCATGTCAAAAAAAATCTATTCCAATTTGAAGCTTGTGACATATAAACGCGCACATCAACCCCATCACTTTCTTTAGCGTTCATGTAAACACTACATTCAGATTCATCAATCGGAATGAATTCAGTCCGATTGAACCCAAAATTGGGCATGTAAACGCAGCCAGTGTGGAATCGAAGGTAATGAGGAAGCCGACTCTGCTGCAAAAGAAGCATTATTGGCGGACCCCAGATTTTGTGCTGTACCTCCTATGGGTTTAAAACCAATAATTTGTTATTGGTGGGATCTATACACAATGCGTAAGCTCCATGAAATTAGTCCCAGTGTTGGAAAAATAATTTTCTATTAATTTTCTAAGCGATGGGACCAGATTGTTTATACCTGCTGTAGAATTGGTCATTCCAGGATGACACGCACGTTTTTAATACTAGGGGAAGATCCTCTAACATGTTCCCTTTATCCATTAAGCGTGTTTAATTAGATTGTGCTGGTTTTAGCTCATTGAGAGAATTTTTTTTATTCTGTTAACTCTTTTGAAGAGAGTTAAGCCAAATACAGTTTTGGAGTTTTTAGCAAAAATAAATGATAAAAACATGATATATAATTCAGCCATAATATTTCTCGCCATGAAAAGCTGGAATGGCGTTGAACACAAACAAACTGACTGAGGTGTGCTGTGATCGGACAGGTGGGAGGTGATCGCCAGCTACATGAACCAGCACTCCAGCAGCGGCGTGAAGAGAACCGCCAAAGACGTCATTAATAAAGCAAAAACACTGCAGAAGCTGGGTAGGTAACAGCGCTTTGGGTTGATGCTGTACGCTGGATTGAAGTAGTACGGCTAATTTGCTTGGTTCTTGATGGCAGATCCTCACCAGAAAGACGAGATTAACCGAAAGGCCTTTGAGAAGTTTAAGAAGGAGCATTCGGCTGTTCCTCCGACCGCAGACAACGCTGTGCCATCAGAGAGGTTTGATGGTAAGTCACATGATAATTGTGTTAATCATGAGTATTGATAAGGTAGAATTAGAAAAAGGTTGCAAGTAAATAATAATAAATTAAAATAATACATGTAGAATAAATAAAATATTTTCTCTTTAATTAATGAATAAATAATAATTATTATTAATATTAATTAATATTTTTATATTAGTAGAATTCCAATATCTTAATATTAATTATTATATTAATAATTATTATAATATCCATAACACACACTCTTATTATAATGCAAGATGATTGCCAAAGCATTGTTACACAGAACAAATAATAATATTATTATTAATAAAATGTAAAATATTAATTATAATAATAATAATGCTTTTTAGAACACACTTCTATAATAATGGAAGATGATTCATAAAGTAGAATTACAATAAAGTGCCAAGTAATTAATAAAATAAGATCTCTTTTCCTTTTTTATAAATAATATGTGACCCTGGAGCACAAAAGCAGGCTTAAGTCGCTGGGGTATATTTGTAGCAATAACCAACAATACATTGTATGAGTCAAAATTATAGATTTTTCTTTTATGCCAAAAATCATTAGGATATTAAGTAAAGATCATGTTCCATGAAGATATTTTGTGAATTTCCTACCGTAAATATATCAGAACTTAATTGATTAGTAATATGCATTGCTAAGAACTTCATTTGGACAACTTAAGATTTTTTTGCACCCTCAGATTCCAGATTTTCAAATAGTTGTATCTCAGCCAAATATTGTCCGATCCTAACAAACCAAGCTTATTTATTCAGCTTCCAGATGATGTATAAATCTCAATTTAAAAAAATTTACTCTAATGACTGGTTATTCCTAATATTACTATTAATAAATTAAAAACACCCTAATTATAATAATATTATTATTTCTGTGACACTTTTATTATAATGCAAGCTGATTAATCCTGATTTTATTAATTGTCATTTTCATTTCGTTAGTTATTGCATTTTCACATAAGCTCAAACCAAGAGAACATTTGCTCGCAGATAACAGCACAAATGTGAAAGAAAACAGACTGGCTGTATTACACTTATCTGAGCAGTAAATAACAAAAATAATTATTTTATTATATAAAAATAAACAAATAATAAATAAATATATACAAATATATATTTTTTTAATTGTATAAAAAATTTATTTTTAAGAAAAAAAAATGTTTGCCAGTGATTTCAGCTCATCAGCACTTTTTCTGTAACCTGGAGAGAGCGCATATGTATGGTTGCCAGGTTGGGAAGTTTAAGGAAACCACTGGGCAGAAAATGTATTGATTGGGGGATTTAAGCACTTTCATCTGGCTACCGCAGCCATGAAAGGAGATTTCTTACCAATGCAAGATAACGCAAATACCAAATTAAAATGAAATGTTTTCTTAATGAACAACCAGCAGGCAAAGATTCGAGAGAAGCATAATGATTAAAATGTGGTTTATGGTTGTCACAAAAACAGTCCTGTTCTGAACACAATCACTCATCCAAACGTTTCCTCCAGCTGTTAGCGCCGAGTCCAACTCCTCCCCCTGGACCACAGAGGAGCAGAAGCTTCTGGAGCAGGCGCTGAAGACGTACCCGGTGAACACGCCGGAGCGCTGGGAGAAGATCTCTGACGCTGTGCCCGGACGCTCCAAGAAAGACTGCATGAAGAGATACAAGGTATGATCTTCTGCATCGTTATTCATCAAAAACTGACAGGCTTGTGCAACACACACAAACATTTGTTTCTTAATTCAACGTACTATTTTGGCATAATTGTTTACATACAGCATTGCCCAAGAATTAATACACAGAACAAGGAAATAAGCAATAACAAATATTAAGGTAGAATCAGAATATGTTGTCAAGTATATAATAAAATAAGACCTTTATATTATTAAATTAGTAATAATAATTATACTAACAACAACAATAATCAATTATTAATAATTAATACAATTGAAATTAATTTTATTACTAAAAACAAATAATGACAAGAAATAAAAATAAATAATAACAAATATTAAGGTAGAATTGGAATAAGGTGCCAAGTAATTAAAATATTTTTCTAAATAATAATACAAATGATTATTATTATTATCTTAATTATTATTTAAAAATCTAAAGTAATATTAAATTAAATAATTAACAATATTTTTAATATGTATATTATACACTTTTACATCTATTTAAATCATAATTAATAATAATAAACATCATAATTATATAAATGAATATTATAATGTCTGTAATTCGCAATCTTGTTATAATGCAAGCTGATTAATAAGGTAGAATTAGATTGAGGTGCCAAGTAATTAAGATGTTTTTATAAATATGAATAATTATATAAATATTAAATATTAATAATAAAACAAAGAAATCTATCTTTTTAATATTAATAATTATGATTCATGTTTAGTGTTATTAATAAGAATAATAAATAAATAAATAATGAAATTTAAAATATCTTAAAGGGGTCATATGATGCGATTTCAAGTTTTCCTTTCTCTTTGGAGTGTTATATTATAATAATGTGTGATCTCTATGTACAGTTGTTGATGTGTTTCTGCAGGAGCTGGTGGAGATGATAAAGGCTAAGAAAGCCGCCCAGGAGCAGGTCACCGCTAAAAACAAGAAATGACAAACATGCTGCAGGGAAAGAAAACACACACACACAACATGGTCTTTTAACTTTGTGTTCTTTATTTTATAATAAAATAAACATGAAACGCACACATTAAATTATCTTGTTTTTGTGACTGTTAATGCGCAGACGCTGTACTGCTTCACTTCCTCACGGCCGAAACCAATGCATGCCGCCATGGATGCCGTTATAGTCCGGGAGCTGCTCGATCGGACCTGCAAACATCAAGTATTTGCTTATCAGTCACTGAAAGCAGCGTTTCCCGTCGCTCTGCTCTCTTTCAGGTCCTGGAGTGATGAGTTCAGGCAGGTGTGTTTGGTTATGAAGACACTCCAGGACCAGAGCTGGGAAAATAGCAGATATTACTGAGAAAATATGAATACTCACCAACGGCTGCTATAGCAGGAGCTTTATTATAGATGTATTTCATACACACGTCTTTGATGGTTGTGGAGTCTATGGCCTGAGAGGAGGAGAAGCAGCAGCATTGAGACTAAAGCCCCGTTCACACGCTAATAGTTTGTCATGTGGACAGAAGATCATTTCTACATTTACAGGGGTGAGTCTGTGCTTTTTATTGCTGTCCGAATCCTGAATGTCAGTGTTTTTCCTCCCAATAATAAAAAGTATGCAGTAATTTTAAAATATAATCATATACATTGATATTAGGGCTTGCACAAAAATTAATTTTACCAGTCAAGAAAGTAGTTGAGCCAAATATCTACCTTATGTAAATGTAAAAAAAACATTTAAAATGACATGAATCATTTTGAGAGAGAAAATGCAAGATGGAAAACCTTTTAAATCATAGCGTGTCAATAGTAGAATTTTTCCCTTATTTCTGCTAACTTTCATATTTTTTTGCTATTTTTAAATACAAATAGGATATTATTTTACTATTGTTAAATTAAATATTATTGTACAAGCAATAAGAAACTTCTCACCTCGTGCAAAAAAAGTTTACATTAACTTGTTTCTGCTAATTTCCATATTTTATAATAACATCCATCATTTTAAGAGAAAATGGAAGACAGCGCAAATGCAAGACCATTAAACCAAAGCGTGTCAGTTTTCCTATTTTCCAGTAGTTTATATTATTTTTCTATTGTTAAATTAAATATTAATTAACTGTTGTAATTATTTGTCCAAGCAAAAACAGACATTTTGTTTACAGATCACAGGCCGACCACATAAACACATTTGCAGGATCAGAGAATTCACTTGCCCACCTTAAAAAAGTTGCATGCACGAACTTTACGTAAAATGATTTCTACAGTCGTCCCCATGAGAAACCGTTACTGTCTGAATAAAGCAATAGATGAGCGCCCGTTGAATGTGGGTCAGATGGCAGGTCAAAGGTCAGCTTGTACGTTACTCACATCTATTCTGGCCTCCAGCTCGTGCAGAGGAATCCTGCGGCTGTAACACAGCATCTGCCGGCCGATGTCCTCACAGATGGGAGTGGATCCTACACGAGACAAAAAACTCCTCATTAACATGCAAGAGATTCAGGGTTTCTGCGGGTCTTAAACATCTTAAATCACCCTTCCACAAATTAAGGTCTTAAATTCAAGTTAAAAGTCTTACATTTGTAAAGTTACAAATTACATTTTGCATTCACTACAAAAAAACAAACAAAGTATCTTTATCAGTATTTTTGTCTTGTTTTCCAATGCAAAATATCCGTAACTCATGATGATACATTTATTTGAGATGCAAAATGAAGATAAGTGTTTTTTTTTTTTTTGAGAAATTTAACTAAACTTCAAAAGTTTATGCTTAAAACAAAACAAAAAATAAGTGTCAATGGGGTATAAAAACTTGTTTTCCCTTAATTTTTTATTTTTCTCACTCCATTGGCAGATATTTGTCTTTGACAAATTCACTTCATTTTGATACATTTCTCATAAAACAAGTCGTCTTATATATAATTTTTGCACTTATCTTTAAGAATTTACATCTGACATCTGCACTAGAAACCAAGACAAAAACACTTGTTGCAGTGTGATCAGAAGATACAGTAAACATTATTTCCATATTCTAGTTTTTCTGTTTGCCATGTCTGTATTAAAATTAAATAAAAAGTAATAGAGATCTCTTGGAAGTTGTATTTTCAATTGCTAATACAACTCATTTTGTTCTCCTTAAACTTTTCCATTTCCATTAATCGGTCTTAAAAAGGTCCTGATTTGCCTTCATAAACCCTGTTTATTGCACGCTGCTGCTCTTACCGTCCAGGTGAAGCAGCATGTTTGTCTTCAGCAGGTTTTTGGCTCGGTTCACCTCGCTTTCAGTCACGCTCGTACACAGAGACATCCTAAAGGAAACCGGGTGTTAGTTGCTCATCTTTCATTTCGACAGAAAGCCCAGTGAACGTGGAGCTCTCACCATTCCAGCTGCGTGAAGCGCATCATGTCACTGACGGTTCCCGGTTCGCACACCATGTAAAGCCCCCACAGGCCCGTGTCGGTGTAGCAGGTGTTGAAGGACTGGAAGCTGTGGCACAGGTTCCCCTGACACGCCATCTGGGCCAGCTTACTGGACAAGTTCTGACAGAAGACAGGTGAGGTTAGATGGGTTTTGGGTCTTTTTTAGTGTAATGGTTTAGTGAAAGCGCCTCCTACCATCCCGCCGCCGAGCGAGCGATCCCAGTTCCCGATGAGTGTGTTGGCCACCATGAGCGGGATGGTGTCTGGATGCGACCAGCCGACGGCCTCCACTGCGATGGCTATATGAGCCAGAGGCATCTTATCATCTCGCACACGGATCTGTGAGGAATCGAGAGCAGAACTCCAGGTAAGTCTTTTAAAGTGCTTTTATTATGCTGTTCATTTAGCATGTGATCTCTAAAGTGAGCTCATTTCTCCAACAGAAAACTACTGCCTCGTTTGTAGTCCTGCCATTAATTCTATTTATTAATGAAAATAAACTTAAAGTGTGATATTTGTAAAAAAAAATAAAATTAAAAAAAATTAAAAACTAACTAAATTGACAAAAGCACACAATTCCCTCTCTGCAACAAAATAAAACAAGAATTTGAGTCTGGTTTTATATAGTGTTCAGATTTGTGTAGTGGAAATATATGCACATTAGTACATATAATAAATATATCATGTTTTCTATATATTTAGACGTAGCATTTAAAAAAAACTTATTTTTTTAAAAATAATAAAATTAAAAGTACATTTTACAGAGTTCCCGCTGTAAAAAATATATAAAATAAACAAAATCATTTGAGCCTGGTTTTATCCAATGTTCAGATTTATGTTTTGGAAATGTATGCAAATTAGTGCATATAATAATTATATAATCGTTTGTATATTCAAACAAAACATTTAAGGAAACTTAAAACTTGCTCTAATGACGTGCATTTTCAACAACAAGCTGTAAGAAAGCAGGATTATCATAATTAACAAAAACTATTAAAAATATTTGTTAACTGAATTAAGGCTGAAATAAACTTAATTAGAAATGTTGCATTGGCAACTAACTGAATTAGCTTTAAGATGTTGAAGCACTAAAACTGAAATAAAAATAAACTTAATATTTAACAAAACAATCCCCTCTGTAAAATCCTTTAACTCTAATGTAAACAAAATAAAACACATTTTGAACCTGGCTTTACCACACTTTGAGTGACTGGGCCAGCTGACCAATCAGAGCAGACTTGGCTTTTCAGAAAGGCGGGGTTTAATGAGACAAACTAAAACTGCTTTGAAAAGTGGTGCTGCAGTAATGTACAGTATTAGAAAAATAATTTTGAACTTTAAATCATGTAAATGTATTCTAGCAGTTGCTGAAAATAAAATTCAGATTCATAAAGTTGTATTCACAATAATACATTACTGTCAACATGATTTTTACAAAGAGAGGAATGAATCTAAAGTACTTTCTATCATAACTGATGGGTTGTCACAAGAGTTTGAGCTCGATTAACCCAAAACATTCCTATGTGTAATGAACTCTAACTGTGTTGTGTAATGGTCCGTTCACCTCACTGCCGGTGAAATGGCAGGGCTGTAAAGCCTCTCCGCTGTATCTGGTCGGCAGCTTTCCAAAATGAAATTTGGCCAAATCAATAAGTTCATTATGTGACACTCCTGAACGACAGAGAAACAGTGCTGGAGTATTAATGGTCAAACTGAGCCAGTGACAGATCTAAACAATTAAACCAAAGGAAGTGATGTGAACACGTTCAGTGATGCTGATTTCCTGTGTTTCTGCTGCTTTACCTCCGGCTGCAGCTAATACAATCTGCGGCCCTTTGTAGTGTGTCGTAATGTATTCCACCAGATCCCCTCGATTTATAGTTCTGCAGAACATCAAAATGTAGGAACAGCTTAAGGCAAGACACTACATTCGTTTGTTTCAAGCGTTCCTCAATTTTGAGAATTGTAGCTGTTTTGCTTCTATAACATTCAGACTAGTGTAAAGGAAACATCCAAAATACACATATATAAGAGTTCATTACATTTTATCTATATACATCTGTAGATTTTATAAATATAAAGCCTCTTTTGTACAATTAAACATAACATTTCAGAAAACTTGTATTGCGGAACTAATGAAAATGCATTTTCAGATGTAAGAAGCAGGGTTATTATCATTTTTGTTAATTGAAATAAGGCTGAAATAAAATATAATTATTAGATGACAAATTGAAACTTATTTCAGTTAGGTTATTTTTATTTTTTTTAATTTTTTTTTTTTAAGTAAAGCACCAAAATTATTAACGAAGTAAATAAAAACAAAAAATCAATAAGTAAATAAATATATTAGATAGATAGATAGAGATATTTAAAATAAAACAAAAAATAATACAATTAACAAAATCACGAAAACCCCCTCCATAAAAACATTTAGCTAATATGTCAACAAAAAGCAGATCTCTGTTCTTAAAATACTAACACTAAAACTATTAAAAACATTTTTATTCATTGAAATTATACAAATACAATTATTAGATGAAAAACTTGAAAATTAAAAATCTTACCTTGGCAACTAGACAAAAGTTTAAGTTAAAGCACTGAAATTACTAATTTG